TTAGGGCTTACTTTATACCTCCACAATTATAGAGGTGCAAGGTAGATGTTTGAAAGGGAAAGTGGAATCCTCCTCCTTTGTCTTTTTGGACATTAGGGTGCTGTTGAGAGTTTGTGCCAGAATTGTTTGAAGACAATACTGAAGGCAAGACAAGTCTAGCCACTGGCTAGTCTCTTAAACACAGGTTCAGTAAGCAGCATTAGTAGGTAGCATTTTGATTTTCAGTTTTAATTATGTGATCATATCAGGGAGCTGATCTACATATGGTTGAGCATTTTATTACCAACACGGGGCTCTGGTCACCCATACCTGGTGATGGGAATGATTGCTGTGTGATCTTACAGAGGAAGTTGAGGAAACACAGTTCTGTCCTCTGAACCGGAGGCTGTAAAGGACCAAGAGTCCTTCATATTGCAAGTTGAGAGACCCATTTCATCACGGTGCATTGAAGCTATGGGTACTATCAGTTGCAGATGACTGAGACACTAACAAAGCCAAGGATGTTTGAGTGCTGACAGCTGAAAAGTACACCAATATGGATGGAGGTGGGTGGGTCAAGCTTGAATGGTGGGTCAAGGTTGAGAGTTGTATTGCATGCAAAGTAGTTGTACACAGTGGGGAGGACTCAAGTGCCATGTGAACTAGAAGAGATGCAACTGTGCTGCCATCATGGAGAACAATGGCCATTACGCTACTGGTGTGTGAATCTTGATATGGGGACAGTGATGTGTTGTAGAGGTGCTATGTGAGGTCCTGCTACAGTGTAGCAGCTTGCCTCTCCCTGGTAAAAGCCAAGGGCTAGATTTTAAAAGATTTTAAAAGAGATCAAGAGAAACCCAGGAATGCATCCTCATTGGAGGGCTCCCATAAGAAATGTATCATTAGTGCTAAAGAGATTGGGACTGAAAATGATACTGAAAATGAGATTAATGTTGATGATAATGCAGCATTCTCTCATGTCTATAGATGGAATGAAAGAAATCCCAAGAGCTCTGTGAGTAGTGATGGGGAGAGCAGACATGCAGCAAGCGGTACTGTGAAGAACAGTTCTGATGCAAGGATCAGTAGCAGGGACCTAGACGAATCCCAGTGCTACAAGTAAGAGTGACATATCAACATGGAACCTTACATCCAGTAACTCTCCTTCAAGTATGAAACTATAAACTGGGTGTCATTGGTATGGTCAGCTTGATGAGGTTGCTACTGAGGTTCCAAGAGACCTTGATGTTCCAAATCAAGGATGTTCTAAAGTATTTGCTCCAGTACGGTCACAGAAGATGTGAGAACTGAAAGGTGTAGGCCAGACATCATAAAATACCCCCATAAGTGGAGCTAAGGAAGTTGTCACTGCTGAAGGTGCACTGGTTGGAACCAAAATAGGCAGCATCAAGGCAATCTGTACTGGATTGGAAATTTGCCTTAAAGGCACATTTATAGACAATTTCATTAATGTCATTTCAAAATTAGAGGGAGCCAGAAAAAGAGAAATTGCATGTAGCATCCTGTGTTTATAAACCTGTTGTTCTAAAGTAACATCATATGCTGCTCAGAACAGTCTTCTTTTCCTGAAGGGGTAATGTCAGCCATTGTCCTCCATTTCTCCTTGTCAGTTTCAGCATGTGTCTTGGTGCCTGTTAACCTGCCATATCTAGGGAAAATCTCTTTCTAATAGGGATGGGCAAAACGGCCACTTTTACTTTTCCCTACATTCGAATTTCTGATTAAACAATGAACTGAATTGAAATTCTCACCTATCTCCAGAGGATTAATATGTCAGTTTCAATTTCTTCCACATTCAGATTTTGGTAAATTCTGATCAAATCTGAACTGAAATAAAATGTTCAAGCTGATTACCACATGCTGGACATCACATGCATGATACTAGGGCAAAACCTTTGTCATGTTTCTGAAGTCCCCATTAGCTGGCCCCTGCTAGAACACTCAATGAGAAATTGCATATATTGCATAGTTCACTTCATATGCTTTAAATACTGGAGGGGCCCACTGGAGGGACCCCTTGGGTCAACAAGCCTAATTAAAGGATGCCATTTACAATGAAGCCTTTTCAGCTTCCACTAGAGTCATATATGTTTTACAGCCAGGTGCAACAGTGGTTCCCAACCTTAGGTCCCCAGATGTTCTTGGACTAAAATTCCCAGAAGCCTTCACTACTAGCTGTCCTAACCAGGTCACACTGGCCTGCAGACAAAGCAAACTGCAGTTTCTCTTTATTAACGACTACCAAATTAGTTTCCATTCTGCACCTCAGATGCAATGTGATAGCATTCAGATCTATCACAGCCTTCGTTTTCCCTTGATTACAAAACAAGCAAGCAGTCTCCTGGTGCCTGGAATTTATAATTTTCAAATATATATTCAGTTGTAGTGACCTCAAGCTTTCCTTAGGGACTGGAGGGACAGAATTAATTTGTACAGAAGTATCATACCTATTGTGATCAGCCTCTGATAGTTTTACTCCTCAGAACTGAATAGCCAAAATGGAAATTATTTTAAAATATTTGTATACTTATTGTTTTTTAAATGATGTAAACCGCCTTGGGTCCCTTTTAAGGAGAAAGGTGGGATAAAATATTTTAAAAGAAAGAAAAAAAGAATGAATTCAGCAATGTAAAGCTTAATCTGAAATGATGGATTCTTTCATGTTGCATTTTTAAGTTCATTTTTTCCAACAGGTTTATAGGACCAGACATAATTGTCTACACATGTTCAATTGCATTTATTTCAGAATGCTTTATTGTCCTTGCCTAGTGACGTCAGGGCTTGGTAGTAACAGGGAAGGCTCATATGCCTGTGATGAATTCAGATGGAACTAACTCAGAATTCAAACAAAAAAGCCACATATCATATTTGATGACATTTCTAGACTTCCAGGTAATCAACGGATCTTCCATCCTTTTCCCTAAGGGGAAAAAAACCCAAAAAATATTCCCTTACTTTGCTTTGAAAAAAGAACACATAGTGGTCAGATACTGCATTAATATAGTCATTGGAGGACATGGTGGTAGAAATTAAGACCATTGTGCTGTATTGCCCCTTGGTTCAAATCATATGGGATGTCTCTCACAGTTCTACATCAACTGGAAAAATGCTTCGTATATCACGGGTCTGCCTTAATAGAGGGAAGGGCATGGAAATTATGGTGCAGGAGCATATATATTTACTCTTGTTCTTTTCCAGGTGTTGTTTGTTGTAATTAACTTTTTGGAATGCTTGAAGAAGGTTATTAATTAGAGCTGATCCATGCATTAAGCAGAGTAAGGCAACTGGATTTTTAGATTGTACTAGCTATGAATATGGCAAGGGAAATGGCAGGCGTAAGACTAGAGTCAAAGGAACTGATGCCTCCATTCCATGTCACAAATACCCAACTGGCAACCAATATTGCCCAACAGGAGTGACTTGGAACACTTTCTGATAAGAAGAATATTGCCCAATGTGACATAATCTGCAAAAGCAAGGTGAGAAGAGGATGATAACAACAAATATGGTCAACAAATGTGGTTGCTATAATTGCCTGATTTAGCCTTCAATCTGCACAGTATGAATGCTAACTCAAAGTAAACCTGGTTTCTTTAGCAGCACTGCACAACCAGAACATCATCATCATCATCATCATCATCATCATCATCATCATCATCATCATCATCATCATCATCATCATCACCACCACCACCACACACCTTTGATATGAATCATTCTCACCAGCCTGCATCCCAGGAAGCCTTGACCTAATCTGAGTATTTAAACACTTAACTTTTATGACCCAAATGTTTGTTCTCTTACCAAAAGGAAGAGAGGGGAAATGAGAGAAACTTGGTCTCTGCACATGGTTTTAATCCACCCCCCTCTAATCACATCTTATTCTTGGTGATTTCATTACAAGTTGACATGAACGCAAGGAGAATGCCTAGCAAGACCAACAGTGTCCTGCTGCACAATACCCACTAAGTCGTGACTATAGACTTGTTGTGAAGAATGAGGCAATAGAAACCTTGGTGGTTATCTTGATGTGAGGGAAGCTCCTAAATCCTGTAGTGGTCCTTTGCCACCATCCTAGCTGGCACTCCCCAAGTTAAAGGCATGTGTGCAAAAAAAGTATCAAAACCATCTTCCATCCTTGCAATACTTTAAGCTTTCTCTCTCTCTCTCTCTCTTTCAAATTCTCTCACACTGTTTCAGTGACCTCTAAAGAGGCAGAGAAGCTCCTGACGCTTTGTATAGCAGCTTCCTTTTCCAGGCTGCCCTCTTGTCCCAGCTTGCTGTCATCGCCACTGAGATGGTGGGTGATTGATCTGAGAAATGAAGTTGGATTGCTGTCCCAAATCTACACTCGGTTCTCCTTGTGTCTGTCTGATCGATTTCACTCTGTACGACACAGCTTGTCGCTATGAATTTTCATGCTAGTCAGAAGCCGCCAGCATAACCCAGAACAAATAGAAGATGTTCCTCACTACCCCCACTCTTCTTCCCCCCCCCCATATTATTATAAAGATGTTATATTATTGTTACTTTGATTATCATCTGGTTTTGGCTTTAGATGCTGATGCGAGTGGGAAATAGGTCTACTCCATTTTTAGATGTCATGTCCAGAATCAGTGGTTCCAGCCTTTGGCCTTCTTGTTGGAGGTGGCTAGGTCCTGGTTCGTGGTGACATCCCTTACTGCCATTGCACTAGGTGTCACCTGTTTAGCCGCTCCTCTCAGCAGAATGCAAGTGGCCGCAGGTGTTGTGTGAAGGCTGATTCTATCTGACAACCCTAGACGCCAGCTGCCTGCACAAGGCCTGCCCAATCACCACTTTTTTGCAGATAGAACTCTGCCGTTGGCATGGCCGATACAGAAGCAATAAACTAGGTGACCGGAAAGCTAAGACAAGTCCTACTAAGTGGCATTCTGAACCCCATGGCTTTGAAATAATTGGAAGAGAGAGGACAAAAAAACAAAGAGGGGGGACAGAAAAAGAAAGCCTATTTTTCTTACACTGATGCCCTGCGGACTATACATCTGACTCGCTGCAAGCCCGTCACTGTATCCTCCTGTCTGGCTGATAACATGGCGAAGGGTATCCACCTAAATAGACCAACAACAACAAAGAGAGAATTAGGAATACAGTTAGGAGAAGGCGAAATTAATGGGTGGCAGGGTGATTATTAGAATATGAACATCTGACCATAATCAAGATCTCCCAATGGTAAACCCATAAAGCAAAACATACAAGTTTCCATCCCTTTCATATCTTTACCTACTGTCCCAGTTATTGATAGTAGCAGTGGTAGTAGTCCATGCTGCATTCTTAGAACTACAGGAGATGGTAGGAAGACAGGGTGTGTATGAATAGGGAAGTTGGCTGGAGGCACTTGGTTGAATTAGCAATGAAATGGGACCAAGACTTTTTTCTTAATCTGTCACTGCTGCTACCCACCCATCCATTGATAAGCATTCAATTTAAGGTTTGCCAATGACACCTCAGTATTTCAAGATCATTCATGCTTCTTGACCATTTAAGGTCATCTGCAATATAGAGGCACTCTTCTCTGCATTCACACAGCAATGCAATTCATACTGGCTCTGAAGGCACTTTGGCAAGAAAGGGAAATGTCTGTAGTTGGCTGCCAGAATGTCACTGAAACAGGCCAGGAGTAAAAGAAGATTCCAGAAAAGGTGGTGAATGTCTAAGAGGGTAGGATGCCAACACCTGCCACAGCCAATACCATGACATTAAAATGAAGTAGTTTACACTTTTGAGTGGATTTCCAACATTCTTCCCTGTCAAACTGACTTCTATAGAAGGGTGGCTAAGTGTGGTTGACAGTGAAATGGGAGAGAGGCACTTTTGTGTTCAGCACTACTCTCTTGTCATTAGAGTAAGCAGAAGATGAAAGTATAGAAGTCTTCAAAAATAAGTCCCAAGTACAAATATCTAGTCTTGTTTCCCAGAAAATGAAGTAAACACACTACCCTGTGCATAGAACTTTTTCCGTTCAAAATCTTATTGTAACAATTGAGGCCAGAGCCAAATGCATTCACAAAGTGTGGGCAAGATCCAGGAAGATAAATTTTTTAAAGAATAATTGCTGGTTTGAGGGTTTTGGTCCCATATTGACTGGCTGGGTTCAAATCCTCTCTTGGGACAAAAATGGGGAAAGCCAATAAGATCAAAGGTTCTTCATTCTGACAATTGATGCATTCACTGGCAGTACATCCGATGGATCCCTACCTGTGACTGCACGTTGGCTCCAACCTGGGCCCCTTGGTAAGAATCCCCATTGAGTGACTGCACGCTCATGAACAAATCTCCAGAGTTTGACATGTTAAAAGAACTGGAAGAACCTGGAAATGAAAGAGTGAGGTACCTGAATCACAGAAAGGAAAAGAATCAACTGCACACCTGTGAGCCAAGAAGAAGGAATGACATGCAAAGCAATCTCAAACAGGAAACAAAACATTCAGGTTAGTAGCATAGAGGTCAGAGCAAGCAAAATTAAAATTAAAACAGAAAGGGTGCTCTCTAAAAGCTGTATACATGACATCTGAAGAAGAAGAAGAAGAAAAAGAAGAAGAAAAAGCTCGCCCTCTAATAAGTTTCCAACAGAAAAGAGTCCTTCAGAATTTTTTGATGTTCACTGTAACACTTCATTCCAGTTTTGGGGGTTGAAAGTTACATTGTCGCTGTGGACAACATTCTAAAATCCTAGCATTCTTTGTCACTTCTAGCTGTGATTTCTAGAAACCAGAGTCTTCTTACTCTAAGCAACTAAATGATGTAACAATATGTATGTGAAGCATACCGTGCTTAAACACTGCCAGTTTTAGGAAGACGTACAGCTCACAATAGATTCATCATGGTGACTCCGGCAGGATAGTAAACTGTGCCAAGGTTACAGATATCTACTTCAGTCTTGGTACCCAAAGTATTTATAGAGGTACCTAATGACTGAAACCCAGGAGTAGTTTGCAATTAAATTAGGGGATTTGTTGAGTCAATTTGTCTTTAAGAACCACTGATTCAACAGGCCTCCTCTAGTTGCAACGTACTATCGGATTTTTGTCAATTATGTTGTTTGTTTAGGAGAGAACAAAAGGGCCACAAGAAGATGGTATGCCTCTGGATCTTTTCTGTGACAATACTGGCAAAACCTAAATCTCCCTGCATGAACATGTTTTCTCAATAATCTTAATCATCATATGGTGTGAAAAGGAAATATCAGATACTCTCTTTCATTTTTTCTTATATTTTTCCCACCACTACCATTTCTTTTAAATGGCAACCAACTGGAATGCATGAGGTAGGATGGCAAAGATTATTTTGGAACTTTCGTGCAATTCAGCATGATAATTATGAGAAAGCTCAACATGCAAGGTTTAGTTCTCAACATGATATTAGGCTTGGAGGGAAAGACTCCAGGGGCCCAGGTCAGCTTTTCTCCACTATTGCAATCTTATGCTGCTCAGTGCTTCCCCATGGGAGACAGACAACTGGTTTGTCTTTGTGCCCCGAAACAATCTGAGAAGTTCTATAACCCTTCAATTGAGCTTTGGTTTTGCCAATACATCTAATTAAACCCATAAATATTAAAGCAAAGCGGGAAGGAGTCTGAAAATGTCTGGGGAAAACTGGTGAGTTACCTATAGGTGCCTAGTCTCAATAAGTCTTTCTTGCTCTACTTGAAGAAGAGATTCTAGAATAATTAGTAAACACTAAAAGATTCATCTAAGTCTCCTAGAGTGTCTTCTGAAGGAAGGCTTCCACTAATCTACATCATGGAAAATCTAGGAAAATAATCAGGAAATAATACATTTTGTCATGGTAACGGATTACTTTCTACAATGAATAACTACAGGAAACTACTGAAAATGATCCTGATCACTTCTCAAAAATGCCAATTCCTGTGTTAGGCTTGTTATTATGTGCCGCTAATTCGGAACCAACTTATTGTGATCCCAACAGGGCTTTCAAGTGAGATATTTAAGGAGTGGTTTTACTAGTTCCACATATCCAGTGAGCTTCCATGGCTGAGCAGATATTTGAACCCGGGCCTATTGAGACCTAGTTCATCACTCTGTTCACTACACCATACTGCATATCCACTGAGTATGCTGGACTTACAAGTGCTGAATTTTTAGAATTTAAAATGGAACCATGATTATCTCAATATTTTGCTTTATGTGGCATCTATCTTCTGAGTACAGTGGTGCCTTGCTTGACGAGGATAATCCGTTCCAGCAAAATCGCTGTAGAAAGAAATCCTCGTCAAGCGAAAATAAAAAACCCATTGAAATGCATTGAAAACTGGTCCATAGGGCGGCCATTTTCCAATGCCTGTAAAGCGAAAAATGCCTCCTAAAAACAACGGGGAGCCATTTTGCACAGCAGACAGCCATTTCGAAACTGTTTTCAGATCATCGTAATGCGAAGAATCGGTTCCCGAAGCAGGGAATCGATCGTCGTAAAGCGATTTTTGGCCACTGAAACATCGTTTTGCAATTGCAAAAACCTCACCGTCAAGTGGATTCGTTGTTTAAGAGGTAATAGTTAAGCAAGGCACCACTGTATATACACTCAATTTTAATAGAGACCATATTAATGTTACTTAAGTCCCACAGAAATGCTACAGGAATGAGAGGACTGTTTTTCTCTCCTTAATGGTGGCTGCAACAAATGGTCAAGATATTCAAGGCAAAGCAGCAAACCAACAGTATCACCACACAAAGCCCCCTGGAATTGCTTATGCCTCTCTAGCCTTTTTTTTAAAACAGCACTTAAGAAGCATTTGGACTTTATTTTAGATTCCTTGAAGAGAATAGCCACTGTATCCATTTACCTTTCTAAAATATCTCCCTAAAAATAGAAATGATAGATGTTCGATTTAAAATCAACTAGCAAGCTGCAGAGTGGGGATGGCAGTCATAGTCTTTCACTCCAGGCAACAGCAGCGTTTGTAGATACCATTTACAAAACATACAGAAGTGACATGGATGGTAAAATCCAATAGGATGTCTTTCTGTAGAAGTGCTACAGAAATGAAGAGGAACAGTATGAGATGACTACCAGGTTCTTGTATATCTCCCATCCATTTGCATGGGACGTTTGTAGGAAACCATCACAGTTAATTGTGCTTAGAGTCTTCTTTAAAACCCCTGTGCATATCTAAGTGATAAGTATGTCATGTAGGTTCTGCTTCATTTTAAAATATGGGCACACCACTGATATTTACACAGTGCACATGCATTTGTGACAAAGCAGTTATTGAGATAGTCCTTATTGCCAACTGTTCCACTGCTTCTGCATTTCTGGCAGCAGTCAACAATCTTGATTGGAAGGGAAGAGATTATAAGGCCAGCGATCATGGCTAAGGAGCTCTGAAGGCTAATACAAAGGTATAGCAGGAGTGTCATTAAATGAAGACTTTACATCCAAACATATTAAAAGGTTATCTCATCTTACACAATACCTGTTTTTGCTTTTCTCAAAGTGTTTCAGAAGTCTCTGCTGAGATGAAACCACCAAATTTGCTTTAGTATTCCATTTCATTCAGTACTCTTACCAGTTGTGCCTACTGCATGAAAATCTCCTCAGCAGCTAAAATCTTTAAGAGGACATCCAGAGTTGGTGAGAGATGAGAGATCCCTCAGCATTGCCAGAGTCTGCTAAAGGTAGTTGGGTGAATGAAGATCTGATCAATCAGGGAAACAGATCACATTCTCGACCACTCGTGGAGCAGTCTGGAACAATCTATTTCCCCCTGATCACACAATGTGCAGGGAATTGTGCTCCAGCCTAAATCTGATCTGTTCCAAAGCTGGGTCCTTCTGGTCTAGCAGTAGGGCTGCTACATTTTGTTGCTGGGCTGCAGCAATTCCCTGACAATTGCTCCCTACAAAACAAACATTTCTGTTATGGTCAGACATGTGCCTTTCGCACAATCTGATTGCACCTTAAGATGGAATATCTAATCCCCTGACACATTATGATAATGAATAAAATAATTGATAGCTTCTTGCCCATCAACCCTTACCCAGATCTCTTTAAATGAGCCACCTCACTTATCCAAACAGAAAGGAGCTTGATAGTAACCTGAATGAATGTGGGGAAGAAAGATTTGTGGAATTACATTGTGAAATTTGCCACTGTCTAGTATTGGAACAGAGGGAACACTCAATAGATGCTGATTATCTCTGATACAGCTGTTTAGATTACAGAACAGCACTTAATGTTGTGAAATTTGTCAAAATATGTGAGACCCTGCCCAGAAATATACCTTTAAAAATATTGAATAAGTAATCTCATAAATAGCTGGCAGGATAGCTCAGTGATTTAGGTATCTAGCTGCAAAGCCAGAGGTCAGGAGTTCAATTTCCCACTGTGCCTTCTATGAGTAGAGTCAACCCATGTGATCTTGGGCAAGCTGCACAGTCTCAGGGTGCCTCCAGAAGAAGGGAATACACTTCTGAGTATTGACTACCTAGAAAATTCTGAAAAGGGTAGCCCTAAGTCAGAACTAACTTGATGGCACATGATGATGATGATGATGATGATGATGATGATGATGATGATGATGATGATGATGATGATGATGATGATGATGATGATGATGAATGTCATAAATATGGGGGAAATTGAAAACAATGAATGTATTTCAGAATAGACAATTTAAGAAGAGCTAATACCTCTGAAGTGCTAATACATCTAATTCCCCTTCATGGATTGCTGCCTTGTGGCAAAGGAGCTTGAGTAACTCAGAGAAGCTATTGGCTGTGCCGTGCAGGGACACCCAAGACGGGCAGGTCATAGTGGAGAGTTCTGACTAAACGCAATCCACCTGGTGCAGGAATTGGCAAGCCACTGCAGTCTCTTTGCCAAGAATATGCCATGAACAGATAAAAGGTATGATGCTGGCAGATGAGTCCCTCAGGTCAGAAGGCGTACAACATGCTACTGAGGAAGAGCAGAGGACAAGTACAAGTAGCTCCAGAACTAATGAAGTGGTTGGGCCAAAGCCAAAAGGACGCTCAGCTGTGGACGTGACTGGAAGTGAAAGGAAAGTCCGATGCTGCAAAGAAAAATACTGCATAGGAACCTGGAATGCAAGATCTATGAACCTTGGGAAGCTGGAGGTGGTCAAACAGGAGATGGCAAGAATAAACATTGACATCCTGGGCGTCAGTGAACTAAAATGGACGAGAATGGGCGAATTTAATTCAGATGACTATCATATCTACTGTTGTGAGCAAGAAGCCTGTAGAAGGAATGGAGTAGCCCTCATAGTCAACAAAAGAGTGGGAAAAGTTGTAATGGGATGTGATCTCAAAAATGATAGAATGATTTCAAT